TATGTCTCATTTTCACTAGTTGGATTTTACCCTTTCTTACTTTTACTAGTTAAAACCTATGTCTTACTTTTGCTAGTTGGATTTTTATTGTTTCTTACTTTTACTAGTTGGATTATTACCCTTTATTACTTTTACTAGTTTTGGAACCTATGTCTTACTTTTACTAGTTGGATTTTTATTGTTTCTTACTTTTACTAGTTGGATTATTACCCTTTATTACTTTTACTAGTTGGTATCTAAATTAGCCTTGCCTTAATTGGTCGGAACCTATGTCTTACTTTTGCTAGTTGGATTTTTATTGTTTCTTACTTTTACTAGTTGGATTATTACCCTTTCTTACTTTTACTACTTGGTACCTACATTGGCCTTGCCTCAATTGCTTGGAAGCTATGTCTTACTTTTACTAGTTGGATTTATAACGTTTCTTACTTTTACTAGTTGGTACCTAAATTTCATTACTAGTACTGCATTTATTGGCTGTAACCTACTTATCTTAGTCCCGAGGGACAAATTTCAATTGAATTGAAGCTTTTTTTGTTACTTCTTCTGTCATATTAGGTTCACCATTATGAAATCTGTGTTTGGCCATTTTTTATTTGAAAGTATGTCTAATTACCTAAATTTCTATCTCAATAAAAAACCTTTGGAACTTCTTACAACCCTACGAACTCTCGTAATCCATTTTTTATTTAAATTTGTTTCGATTTTTAAAAATCGGTCGCCATATTGGATCCGCCATTTTGAATATTTAAAATCTGATGTCAGATTAGTGTTCAGCGACCCTAAAAACCCCTGAGTGACAAATTTCAATTGAATTATAGCTTTTTTTGTTACTTCTTTCACTATATTGGATCCGCCATCTTGAATTTTTTATTTTGACACTTAGCATTTTAAAGTAGAAGAATTACCTAAATTTCTAATTCAATTTAAAACCTTTAGAACTTTTTACAACCCTACAAAGCACCATAAGATACGTTTTATTGAAATTTGTTAAAATTTTTAAAAATCGGCCACCATATTGGATCCGCCATTTTTAATATTAAAAATCTGATTTCATATTTGTGTTTAGCGACCCTAATAACCCCCGAGTAACAAATTTCAAGTGAATTCAAGCATTTTTTTTTACTTTTTTCACCATATTGGATCCGCCATCTTGAATTTTTTATTTTGCCACTTTGCATTTTAAAGTAGATGTAATTACCTAAATTTTAAGCCGTATATGAACTTTTTTCATTTAAATCTATTCTGGGGGCGGGGGGTCTCTCGTTGACGTGGAATGCCCCATATATATATATATATATGGGTCATTCCATGTGAAAAGGCAAATGGATTTGTCCACTCGTGGTTTAAAGCAATCGCAAAGTCATAGGGCTTAAAATTTAGCATTTTTTATGTAGAATCGAATTCCGAGTGGCTGATTTTGAAATTTTCAAAATGGCGGCCATCACAGGCTGGAATTTAGTAAAAATTGATGGATTTACTTCAAACTTGGTATCTAGGGGTTTTTTGGGTCGCTGATGACGAATTTGAAGTTAGATTTTCAAAATTCAATATGGCGGACGAATTTTGTAAAAATTGATGGATTTACTTCAAACTTGGTATCTAGGGGTTTTTTGGGTCGCTGATTACGAATCTCAAGTTAGATTTTCAATACTAGAAATGAAAATTCTTATATACGTCAGTAAGGTATTCACGTCTTTTTATGGTAGCGCACTCTTTTGTCCTCAAAGGATCTGTGTAATGGTTTTCTTTCCAAATTGGTGCCTCCAGGTACAATATCCCTTTTCAGCATCCAACAGTAGTCGGCCATCATATTTACATCCCATCTTCCTTGATAACGACGCTCAAATTCTTTAAGATCTTGATGGAATCGTTCTCCTTGTTCTTCACTGTAATCTCCCAAATTTTCAGGGAATTGATCCCGATGCGAGTCTAAGTAATGCAACTTTATGCTCATTAAGCATCCTAACTTACCAAAGTTTCTAATCATATCACTAACTATTTACTCCTAATTTGCACTCTTGTGATTACCCAGAAAATTTCCGACAACTGCTTTGAAACTAAGCCATGCGGCTTTCTCCTTTTTATTCATCTTGGTGATAAATTGCTCATCTTTTAACAATTTGCGAATACGTGGTCCGTCGAAAACCCCTTCTTTTAGTTTCGCATCAGAGATTTCTGGAAACTTTTGTTCCAGGTATTTGAAACAGTTTCCTTTTTTATCTAAGGCTTTTACAAACTGTTTAATTGCTCCTAGTTTCGTGTGTAAGGGCGGAATTATCACCTTTGAAGGGTCGATTAGGGGATTTTCTATTATATTTTTTGAACCTGGTTCGAAAGAATTCCTTTTTGGCCATTGTTTTTTAATGTAGTGATTTGCTCGATCTCTACTGTCCCACAAACACAGGAAACATGGTGTTTTTGTAAAACCTGATTGTTGTCCAAGTAGTATGCTTAAAATCTTGAAATCTCCACAAATTTGCCAGTTGTGTTCTCGGTATCTAATTTTATCCAAAACTAGTTTCATATATTCAGTTTTCTTTCATTTCCGTTGAATGCGCTATTGGAATTGGGGCCATATTGGCCATATTGGAGCCGCCATTTTAAATTTTGAAAATCTAACTTTAGATTCGTAATCAGCGACCCAAAAAATCCCTAGATACCAAGTTTGAAGTAAATCCATCAATTTTTTAAAAAAAAAGCCTACCTCTCAAAATCCGTCAGGTTTTTGGAGGTTAGAAAAAAATCCTGACGTGATGGAGCAAAACGGACTTCGGATTCGTGTTCAGCGCGTCAAAATACATAGGAAATGACTAGTCTGGTCTTCCGCGCACGACACTTTTTTTTGTGGGGCTGTGTTACCTGAGTCCTCAGAGTTATTAATTAATCCTCTTTAACAGATTGCAGGTCAAGCGAACCCTCATTTGCAAAATAAAGATATATCTTTCTCTCTCCATAACTTGTTCTTCTCTCTGTCACCGAATACCTAGCAAGGGTCCGGACGCAATGAGTGAATGATTGAATGAATACCAAAATTATTATAGTTAAAATTTACATCTTGTCAGGTACTTATAAAAATTTTGAAATTTATATGAAATTGTTAATTTCGATATTTTTTCCAATTACGATTTTCGTCCTTCTTTCGCCACAGATATGATTTCTTTCTTGGAGTAACTTTTCTGAGTATAAAACTATTGATATCAATAAGGATATCATCACAATAAAAATAAAATCTTCTATAAAGATTACACGTAAGTTTAATCAGTCTTAAAAATTAAGATAGTTTTAATTTAAATCGAAATTAGTGTGTTTAAGTAAAACTTTGTTTGAGAACATTTTCTCTTAAAACTACGTTTTACCTGCACTAATAACCACAAAAATGAAAAATATGGTTTAAATCGAGTAGCTATTAAGAAATATGAATTACGCGGGTAAAAATTTACTTATATTTGGTCAAAAAAAATAATTTATGGTAGAAAAAAGTGTGCCACTTAATTGAAAATAATTTTTTTTAAAACAAAAAGAACCCAGCTCGTCAGATTTGCCCAAATATACTTTTATTAATGTTTTTATAGATATTTATTAATAAATATACTATATATATACTATATTATAAATATAATATATTACATATATACATAATGTAATATATAAATAGTACTGAAAATTAAAATTAATCTTGATTATAATTAATATTAAATTAATTATACCTAATTATAATCAATATAAGCAAAAAAAATATATTTTTTAAAATCATAAGATTATAATAATGTAGTAAATAGACGATTGTTATTATTATTAGTAACTGATAAATTTTTAACTTTTTTTTATAAAAGTAATAATAAAAGTTTATTTTTTAACATTTAAATATATAATTAAATTACACTAAAAAAACAAATTTATTTATTCAAATAATTGATTACTTGTTTATTATAATAAAAGTGTTGATTTGTATTGAATAATAAATATTATTTTAGCGAATTAAATTGTATCTCTTTCAAATACGGAAATTATTGTTTCAAATTCAATTTATTTTATTCTAACAATAATTATTTTGTTTAAATAAATAAATACATATTTAATAATAGACAAATAAGTGATTATTTGAAAAAAATAAATTTTTTTAGTGTATATATTATTAAACCCCTTTCCTCACTACCCTGGAGGTAGAATTTGTGGCGCGTTTTTTAACGCTTTGAGGACTAATTGTAATTGTGTCTTTTAAATGTTTTCAAGACTAGAAAAAATAAAATATACTTTTCAAAGACAATATTTCTCTAAAATAATTCTTAGAAGTTTGCATTGGAAAGTGCAATCTTTAAGGACTAATTTATTTTTCACTTAAAAATAATCATGTTTTTTATCTACTAATTTTACAACTTATGCTATTTTCATTAAATAATATATTCGATTTCACAAACCGCATGCAACTTCAATTAGTCCTCAAAGAGAAAAAAAACGCGCCACAAAAACTCAAAATTCCTGAAAAAAGCTCAAAATTCCGTTTTATCTTAACTTTAACCACTTTTTAGCCAACCATCTTAAACTTTGCACATATGTATGTACATATTTACAAGCAAATTGAAAGAAAATTACAGGAAAATTATTTTATTTAAACATATATAATAGTTTTTAGTGGTAATACGATTTTGGTTATTGGATTTGTGTCTATTACGATGGAATAAAACTATATATTTTTAAAAGTCTTAATGCAGGGTGTTTGAATGTTCTTCCAAGTTGAATATTAAATTAGATTGTTCGCTTTTTAACCAACAGTAGTTTTTGAAGCTCTTGATCAACAACCGATTGGTACAGTTAAGTGTGAAGTATATGAAATAGCATTTGCAACATATGTATTGGTTAACAGTGTAAATTAAAAGATTAATCTATGAAACTGATAATAATATAATGAGCAAGCATTTGATATCGTTTTTTGAAAACAATTAATTAAATCATTTTCCGGCAGTTAGAATGTCTAATATTAGAATTTCGTTTTGTAGAGAATGATTGGAATTGTCTTTTCATAAATCGAGGTAAGGAACTTCAAAATGGTGGACTAAACCTTTCATATTTTTGTAAGACTTTTGCCAGTAAAAATGACAACAGAGTTCTGTCTATTGAAACTGAGAATGAAAGAAATTACCCAAAGAAAAAAATTTGTCATGAAAGATAAAGAAATTATCTACAGAAATTGAAGAGGGATTTACATGTTGATGTAAATTCAGTATGCACAACAGAAAATAATAAGAAAATAATTTCTAGTCTTATTGTTAGTGAAAATTTTGATCCTATGACATATCCTACAATGTTTCCTTATGGTGATCCTGGATGCACTGTTAACCTTAACCATACTCAAGGTACTTGTAATTTTATTCATTTACAATTTTATGTGTATCGTCTTTCATAGAGAAGAATAAAGCAGGGATTGTGCTGAAATCACAGACGAAATAAAGAATCCAGAACTTTTTAACATTGTGAAGCGATTTTAAGTTCATGGGCTTTGTGGTAAACAAAATAGGAATTAACCCTGCATGGATTCTGAGATAGGTGAATTGCTAACAATTCGATGATCGTAGCATATAATCTTTATTTGAGTACAAAATTTAAAGGTCATATTGACTGTGCAATAATAGGTATTATATTATTATAACACCATAATGTTAAAATAGTAATACAGTAACGATTTCAAAAATAACATTATTAGTTTTATGAGATAAAAATTCCAATAACTTTTCGTCAAATAAAAATAAATTTTTAATTTTTCTTAAAAAATTATAGGTAGATACACTACCGTCCGAAATTGTGCGAAATCTGCTTTTTCAACAACTATAAAACTGTTCAAATCTTCAAAAATATTAAAACTAAAATTTTTTCCTCTTTATTTTATTAAAGGTAATAAAATTCTGAAAGAAATGACACCTTGACAAAGAGAATATGTTAATTTTTCAATTAGATATCTAAGAAAAACCCAATTTTCAATGTTTTTACTATTTTTTTTATTTCTCTGGCAAAAATGAATATTTTTTAACGTTCTTAGGCTCATTGAAATCGTATTTTGTTATGCCATTCAAATTATATAAAACAATTCATGTACACATTCTTTCCTAGCGTATGCAAACCGTGAAAGTTGGCTCATAAAATGTCAAAAAATTGTGATTAATATTTATATGACAAAAAATGATCAGTAAAATGTATAAATCTTAAATTTACTTACATAAATCAGAGAAGTTTAGAATGATATATTTACTTGATTTTTAAACATTATATTTTATTGTAGAATTAAATTTAAATTTTTTGACATTTTATGAGCCAACTTTCACGGTTTGCATACGCTAGGGAAGAATGTGTACATGAATTGTTTTATATAATTTGAATTGCATAACAAAATACGATTTCAATGAGCCTAAGAACGTTTAAAAATATTAATTTTTGCCAGAGAAATAAAAAAAATAGTAAAAACATTGAAAATTGGGTTTTTCTTAGATATCTAATTGAAAAATTAACATATTCTCTTTGTCAAGGTGTCATTTCTTTCAGACTTTTATTAGCTTTAATAAAATAAAGAGGAAAAAATTTTAGTTTTAATATTTTTGAAGATTTGAACAGTTTTATAGTTGTTGAAAAAGCAGAGTTCGCACAATTTCGGACGGTAGTGTATGAAAAACTGCAATTTAGTACACATACGTATTTTTACGTGTAGATTACAGGAAAAATATAGCGAAACAGATTGGATCTGATGGCTACGAGCTAGAAAGGAAAGAAATCGGTTTTTTACGAAAAATTTGCAAAAAATGACCCTGTCTCCGCCCCTTAATTTCTACATTTTGCTATATGAAAAACTGGAATTTAGTATACATACGTATTTTTACGTGTAGATTACAGGATAACTATATAGAAACAGATTGGATCTGATAGTTACGAGCTAGAAAGGAAAGAAATCGTTTTTTTTTTAAATTAGCTCATGCTATGAAACTTAATCACATACATTGAATTTTAAAATTCAAGCAGTCTACTTGGTTGAAAAGTTATATTGATTTTAATACTATGATGCGAACAAATGCTAAAAATAAGTTTGAAAAAATTTTATTCAAACTTATGAATAATGCAGTTTATGGTAAGACTATGGAGAATGTACGAAAGCATGTAGATGTCAAGCTTGTGACAAAGTGGGAGGGTAGGTACGGCACTGGGGCTCTCATATCGAAACCTAACTTTCATTCAAGAGCTATCTTTAATGAAAACTTGATTGCTGTTGAATTAACAAAAACGGAAGTGTTTATGAATAAGCCAATCTATATTGGACTTAGCGTCTTAGATATATCAAAGACATTAATGTATGATTTTCATTATAATTATATGCGAATCAAGTATGGTGATAATTGTAAATTACTTTACACTGATACCGATAGCCTTATTTATAAAATTAAATGTGTAGATATCTACTCTGATATGAAGTTAGATATTTGCAAATTTCATACATCTGATTACGCAGCTAATAATGTATACAGAATGATAAAATGTACAAACACTCTCGCTTAGGGACATTGTAATATTACAAATGTTGATATTGATGATGATGATGATGTGGAAATGTTACAAGTCTGATATATATTTCTTATTTATCTATATTTATTGTACATATTGAAAAAAGAGCTGTAATGAAAGGAGAAGTGCAATCAAATTATTAATAAATGAAAAATTGTTATTAATTTTATGTCTACTTTATTTAATAAAACCTTCATATACATTATTGCAATCGTTCACATAGCTCTATTAAGTATAAATAAATTCTTAAAAGATTTTTCTAACATTCATTTAACTTTTCAGAAAGTTAACTTTAACTTTTCTAAAAGTTAACTTTAACTTTTCTGAAAGTTAACTTTAACTTTTCTAAAAGTTAACTTTAACTTTTCTAAAAGTTAACTTTAACTTTTCTAAAAGTTAACTTTAACTTTTCTAAAAGTTAACTTTAACTTTTCTAAAAGTTAACTTTAACTTTTCTAAAAGTTAACTTTAACTTTTCTAAAAGTTAACTTTAACTTTTCTAAAAGTTAACTTTAACTTTTCTAAAAGTTAACTGTAACTTTTCTAAAAGTTAACTGTAACTTTTCTAAAAGTTAACTGTAACTTTTCTAAAAGTTAACATTTAACTTTTTAAATAGTTAACTTTAACTTTTCAAATAGTTAACTTTAACTTTTCAAATAGTTAACTTTAACTTTTCGAATAGTTAACTTTAACTTTTCAAATAGTTAACTTTAACTTTTTAAATAGTTAACTTTAACTTTTTAAATTTTACATTTCAGATTTATTTATACAACTATTGTGAGAATTATCAAATCTAAGCCATTTTACATAGACTTTATTATGACGATTTTTAAGAACTTTTTCTACAAGATAAACTTCTGAATATTTGACTTTGGAAATTTCTTCTTCATAGAAGCTTTTAAATTAATGTAAGTTGAATACAGTTTAATTTTATATGATTTCATTAAACTTTCAAATACAGAATTATAAAATTCTTTCCCTTTATCAGTATGCAAGTTTTTAGGAACACGTCCATTCACAAGTATAGATTTCATAGCTTCAGAAACATCTTTTCCACTTTTACTTTTTACAGGAATAGCCCATGCATACTTAGAAATTATATCTATAACTGTAAGCATATATTTAAAACCTTTATTAACTTTTGAATAAGGTATCATTTCAACTAAATCTGCTGGCCAGGTTTCATCAATTCCACGCATTTCTACTTTTCGACGTGGATAATTTCTCCTAGCTTGCCTATGTAACTCTGTCACAACTGTTAACTTCTTATTAACCATGTTCAAGAATTTATAATAAAATGATCTGAATAGAACAATATTCAATATAATAATGATCTTGATTTTACAAGTTCACTATTAATATATAATTTGAGCTTCCCGTAATTCTTCAATTATTGGCATAATTTCATTATTATAACTTGAATTGCCAGCCTGTTGTGATGCGACAAGTAACCGTAGACGATCAACAATCTCGTTTGGATCATCCGAATAGACGTAGTCTGGATATGATTGTTTCTTCACCATCATAAATTGTGGTAATTGAGTTTTTCTCTTCAAGTAAGAATCTCCAGATTTGAGCAAAAGTTTTGCAATAACATTAGTATATTTGAAAGTGTTATTACTACGAATAGGTTTATTTGGACTATAATTCTTTCTATATGCATTCGTACTACGTAGAATTTCTTTATAGTTTACGAAATCATTAGCATTTGTTAACTTCTGATCAGGTTTTTGTCGGAATATGAGTTCCAATAATTCATCCGTTTTAGAATATTTTTTCTTCCCAACTAGGTTAATGTAAGAACCTTCAAAATCAATTTACATACCATTTACCAATCATGTATGTACCGTCCGGAGGTTTAGGTACTCCATAAACCTTATCTAAATATTGTTTCCTATTTTTGTCCAACATTTGTAGAAATTTCTTTGTTAATTTATCAGAATCTTCTTCTTCCATAGTATCAATCAAATTACTTGCGTCTTTAATATTATACATATCTTGCTCATAAAAGGCATCATTAAGTATATTATTTTGCTCATTAACAATAATATTATGATTCTCTTGATTTGATCATTTATCAATTATATTTTCATTTTTAAAATTTTCGATGTCTTCTTCTTCAGAAATAGAATCATAAAACGCTACATCATCATTATAAATAGATGTGTTGAAAGGTGTATCTTTACTAATGGCAGTCTTAAAAGATGATTCAAAGTCTTCTTCTTCTTCTTTTTTTACATGGTTTTGAAAATTTTCAATTTTTATAGGATTTTTAGATATATTCACTAATTTTTCCAACCGAGTAACTAATGGTTGAAAGGATTCTTGCAACATATTTTCAGCTGACTCTCTACCACTTTTAAGAATACGATGTTTTCGACGTATAGCATCACTTGCTGCAGCTATTTGATGTAGTGTCTCTCGCTCCTTTCGAAACATGTTTATTTATGGAAGTCTCAAACTGAACTAATGTAATTCTCTTGAAATACTTAATATTTATAACTGAATAAAGCAATCAAATCCCTTCCTATATCTTCCATCATTCAGATTTCTATCTTTATCAATAACTACAAATCCATAAGGTTCCTTTCATCTTGTTTGAAAAGCAGAAGCAAGTTAATATTATCTCTAACAAGATGTTTTCGAATATGAGCATATGTTTGACATAGATAAAAACTATCGACGTTAACATGTCGCCCCATACAAAAAAACGCCTTAACATTGTCCGGCTTCTCACAAGCGATATCATCAGAAATGAAAATTGAATTAGTTTTTGCATCTTTAGACGTAACAACTTGTTCATGTTCACTGAATGGGAAGAACTCGATGCCATCTACTTTACTAAGTACTTGTTCCAAAAATTTATATTTCGGCTGCTGTAATGATTTTGAATATATGAGGCAAAATTCCTGAATTGTCCGAACAAAAAATTAAAAGTTCTCGAATTTAATCCATACTTTTCTAAAATGTTGTTATTGTTGGTGAAAGTCTAAAAATCAATTATTATTGAATTTAATAAAATAGTTTTTGAATTACAACGTTTTTAATTTTTGACATTTGAAAAAAAAATTTTTTTCAATGTACAATATTTATAAGTAAAATGCATAAAAGTTAACATATATATAATGATTTTTAAAGCTTTTTTGACGGGCTACACGCTGTTAATAAAATTTTTTTTTAAAATAACATTTGACCTTGAAATTCAAGGTCAAAATGTTAATTTACGTTTATCTCAAAATCGGATTTTTTAAAATTATTTTTAACTATCTCAATGGAAAGCTTGACTAATTTCCTACAAAACATGTAATTTTCAAGGTGGGATCTTTTAAAGCTTTTGAGATATTAATTAATTAATTAATTAATGTTTATAACAAATGAAATATTTTACAAACGAATAAAGTTACCGTAATTCTGAAGTTAGCAATTGAAACTTAACGTAATTCCGCATCCAACGAGTCCTGTATGAAGTATTTTGGATAAGTAGATTGTTAATAAACAATTAGTTAACATTGCAATTGTTTATTAACAATCTACTTATCCAAAATACTTCATATAGGGCTCTTTGGATGCGGAATTACCTTAACTTTCAATTGGTAAGTTCAGAATTACCATAACTTTATTGTTTGTAAAATATTTTTTTTTTACTAACAACAAGCATCCAAAAGCCCTATATGAAGTATTTTTGTTCAATTTTAGTTAAATAACAATAAAAAATTAAATATCTTACAATCAAATAAAGTTATCGTATATATATTTTCAAATCCTAAACCATTCGGATGTATAATCAGAGAAAGAAGTACATTTGTTTTTCCACAATTTGATGGTCCACAAAAAGCTGTTCGAATACTATTTGAAAATAAACTTCCATGTCGTTTAACCACATTATCTTTAGTTTTAATGAGGTTATCCACATTGGCAATCGGGAGTTGTACTGCTTGTACCTTGAACTGCATCTTAGAATTGACTAACGAAAAAACTATAAATACCGCACTTATAAAGTCGCCCTGCATCAGTTCGTTATAGACCATTGTCGAGTAAGGAATGATTACTCACGATAAAGTGAAGAAAAATTTTTGCAGTGGTCAAGTATTTCTCAATACTTTAATTAACAAATTACCATTCGAGTGTCACATTCCTAGTTATCAATATTGTGGACCTGGAACAAAGTTGGCAAAACGTCTTGCACGAGGGGATCCTGGTATAAATCCCTTGGATACGGCTTGTAAGAAGCATGATATAGCCTATTCAAAAGATAAAGACGTGGCTGTAAGAAATACTGCAGACAAAATACTAGCTGAAAAGGCGTGGGAGCGAGTAATTTCCAAGGACGCTAAAATTAGTGAAAAAGCAGCTGCATTAGCTGTAACTAATATAATGAAAGCTAAATCTAAATTTGGCATGAGTTTAAAAATTAATAATAATATCAAGAAAAAGATTGTGAAGAAGAAGAAGAAGAAGAATACAATTTCTAAGAAAAATAAACGCATGACATTATAATTAACCGCGCTGAAAATGCAGGAGTTTTAAATGAGGAAATGAATAAAAGAATGCCATTACAAAACAGATATTTTGATCTTATTTGTAATAAATTTTAAATACTTTATCTGAATAAATTAATTTATTAATTTTTAAAAAAAATAAAAAACGTCTTTTTATTGCTTAAACCTATACCCATAGTATTAAGACTAAATAATGAAGGAAAATAAGAAAAGAGACAATTTTTATGTAAATTTATACTTTTATTTTTCTCACATTTTGAATATTTACAATTTTATATTACAATTATTTTTTCTTTTTATAGTATAATAATTTTTATATTACTTATATTCAAATACGATTACATCAAACTTTCCGCCGATATATTTTAATTGTAATTCTTGAGATTGCGCAGCTTCTTCAATCGATATAAATGATGCAGGTTCAGCTTCGAACAGCTTCGCGAACCTTGCTGGGAGGAAAGTTGTAAATTTTGCATCTAGTTCTGCTACAATCCTACCTCCGAATTTAGTTTGTACCCTCTTTATTTTAGTTACAGTATATAAAGCATTTGGAGTCAACTCAGCAGCATTTTGTTGGCAGAAAACTTTCCATGTGACCAATAGCGTTGAGTTTTTGTAAATCCATAATTTCTTTTTATATCTGTAAGCAGAAGTAAATGGAAAATTTTAATATAAAAATAAAAATTAAGCTGTGAGGGGAGTAGGTTAAAAAAAGGATTTAAAGTAGAATATATATACCTTATAGAAGATTGAGTAGTGATGCTAATGCTTTGGCTGCTGTTGATGTTGTTGCTTCAGTATATCTGTAAGAGTTATGCGATCTCTAGGCTTGTACTCCGCATTATATTCCATCAGCCCCACTCTTCTTCTTTCTCTCCCACTTCTCTTCACCCCCCACTTTAAAAAAAACTGCGCACGCAGTTCGCATCTTCATTTTAACGTAGAATAAGCATCACCCCTCTCTATTCAAGAATGCGCACGCAAGTTGGGTGGAGGGGTGAAAAATAAATACATTAGGATATTTCTAGAAGTTAGTGGGTTATGGAGAGGGGGTAACGCCATTTTTATTTATAAGCAAATGTAAAATTTTAATCTCAATACCCCCACTCTTATTTAATACATACTTAATATTTGCGCACGCAACTCTACTTAACTGAAAAGCAGCTCATGGAGCGTCACATATATAGAATTGAAATTTTAAATTCACTGCGTAGAAGGTGGCACCATCTCCTAGAAAATGTTAATAACATCAATGCAGAGTGGTAATGTAGAATGTTATTGATTTACCTATTGATCTTTTTAAAATAGCGCCATCTTCTAGAAAATGTAGTGTAACATTAATGCAAAGTGGTAAAGTAGAATGTTATTGATTTACCCATTGATCTTTTTAAAATAGCTTGGTTATGTATCGATTTATCCTATGATCTACTACATGGTAAAGTAGAAAACCATAGATATATTACCATGTGAACTATATGGTAACGTCGAAAGCTATCGATATACTTATCCTATGATATACTGTATTGTAAAATAAAATGCTATAGATAAATTATCATTTAAAAAAGAAACATATATAGGGGGCATTCCACGTCAACGAGAGACCCCCTGCCCCCAGAATAGATTTAAATGAAAAAAGTTCATATACGGCTTAAAATTTAGGTAATTACATCTACTTTAAAATGCAAAGTGGCAAAATAAAAAATTCAAGATGGCGGATCCAATATGGTGAAAAAAGTAAAAAAAAATGCTTGAATTCACTTGAAATTTGTTACTCGGGGGTTATTAGGGTCGCTAAACACAAATATGAAATCAGATTTTTAATATTAAAAATGGCGGATCCAATATGGTGGCCGATTTTTAAAAATTTTAACAAATTTCAATAAAACGTATCTTATGGTGCTTTGTAGGGTTGTAAAAAGTTCTAAAGGTTTTAAATTGAATTAGAAATTTAGGTAATTCTTCTACTTTAAAATGCTAAGTGTCAAAATAAAAAATTCAAGATGGCGGATCCAATATAGTGAAAGAAGTAACAAAAAAAGCTATAATTCAATTGAAATTTGTCACTCAGGGGTTTTTAGGGTCGCTGAACACTAATCTGACATCAGATTTTAAATATTCAAAATGGCGGATCCAATATGGCGACCGATTTTTAAAAATCGAAACAAATTTAAATAAAAAATGGATTACGAGAGTTCGTAGGGTTGTAAGAAGTTCCAAAGGTTTTTTATTGAGATAGAAATTTAGGTAATTAGACATACTTTCAAATAAAAAATGGCCAAACACAGATTTCATAATGGTGAACCTAATATGACAGAAGAAGTAACAAAAAAAGCTTCAATTCAATTGAAATTTGTCCCTCGGGACTAAGATAAGTAGGTTACAGCCAATAAATGCAGTACTAGTAATGAAATTTAGGTACCAACTAGTAAAAGTAAGAAACGTTATAAATCCAACTAGTAAAAGTAAGACATAGCTTCCAAGCAATTGAGGCAAGGCCAATGTAGGTACCAAGTAGTAAAAGTAAGAAAGGGTAATAATCCAACTAGTAAAAGTAAGAAACAATAAAAATCCAACTAGCAAAAGTAAGACATAGGTTCCGACCAATTAAGGCAAGGCTAATTTAGATACCAACTAGTAAAAGTAATAAAGGGTAATAATCCAACTAGTAAAAGTAAGAAACAATAAAAATCCAACTAGTAAAAGTAAGACATAGGTTCCAAAACTAGTAAAAGTAAGAAAGGGTAATAATCCAACTAGTAAAAGTAAGAAAAAATAAAAATCCAACTAGTAAAAGTAAGACATAGGTTCCAAAACTAGTAAAAGTAATAAAGGGTAATAATCCAACTAGTAAAAGTAAGAAACAATAAAAATCCAACTAGCAAAAGTAAGACATAGGTTTTAACTAGTAAAAGTAAGAAAGGGTAAAATCCAACTAGTGAAAATGAGACATATAGAGTCCAACCAATTAAGGCAAGACCAATTTAGGTTCCAACTAGTAAAAGTAATAGAGGATAAAAATCCAACTAGTGAAAGTAAGACATAAAGAGTCCAACCAGTTAAGGTATCACATCGGCACTAATCGGAGTCAAAAGTTTGTAGCTCGCATTACTACTTCCCGCACTATACTTTCGCCCTCAACTCCCTATACTCTCAGCCCATACTGTACCTACTTCTACAAATACACTCGTACATGTATACCCCACACTAGCAGCGATTAGAAGGAGTAGGAGGATTGACAACGTCGCTATAAGTCTCGCTTTGACTACTGTGGACTACTGTCTCTCTCTAACTAATGTCACCATCCTGCGATGTTGCCACATCAAAGTGGCGGGTGTGCTATATATTGCAAATGACGTCATGAAATAGAATTTTTAATTTATAATTACAAATAAACGGCACGGTAAATTATAAATTTCTTTGTATATTTTAGTTCCAAATTTATTCGTGAATTCAACATTACTTTTTGAAAAAAATTTATAGAAAACTTCTGATGATATTTATGAAAATGTCATATTAGGTTCACCATTATGAAATCTGTGTTTGGCCATTTTTTATTTGAAAGTATGTCTAATTACCTAAATTTCTATCTCAATAAAAAACCTTTGGATCTTCTTACAACCCTACGAACTCTCGTAATCCATTTTTTATTTAAATTTGTTTCGATTTTTAAAAATCGGTCGCCATATTGGATCCGACATTTTGAATATTTAAAATCTGATGTCAGATTAGTGTTCAGCGACCCTAAAAACCCCTGAGTGACAAATTTCAATTGAATTATAGCTTTTTTTGTTACTTCTTTCACCATATTGGATCCGCCATCTTGAATTTTTTATTTTGACACTTAGCATTTTAAAGTAGGAGTAATTACCTAAATTTTAAGCCGTATTTGAACTTTTTTCATTTAAATCTATTCTGGGGGCGGGGGGTCTCTCGTTGACGTGGAATGCCCCATATATATATATATATATACAATAATATTTTACATTTTTATAATACGATGTCAAGTTTCATATGAAAAATTGCTATTATTTTTTTTACGTTTACAGTACTGCTGATCATACGTCATATTTGGTCATAACCTAAAAACAATTTGGAGCAAAATTTGAATAGTCGTTCTCTTATCAAGTGTTATTTTTCAAATGTTGCCAAACAATAATTGTAATAATTATAAATTTTGAATTTTTTAATCTTTTTTAGCATAAAAAAATCACATTTTTAGTCGCTGTGTAAGTATAAATTCGCATGCGTATAGCTGACACAACTTATAATTAGTGTTGCCAAAATCCACGTTTCATAAACTTAAATTTTTGCCTGTCCCAGTGTTTAATGTCCCACTGTTTAAATTGAGCAATCGCAAGAAATTATTTAAATAAAAGTTATTTGTAAAATTTTAAAATATTTTAAATTATTGGATATTATACTTAAAAACATGAGTATACGAAGTAACAATTACACTTTTTTTAAAAAACTGTCCTATCTGTATAAAAATCAGCATTGTATTTCAAGAAAAAATTTACTCCGTAACGTCAAAAATAGTTGTTTTCAATTTTCTTTGTAAATAATGAATCAATGTGGCTAAAATTTGTGGAGTTAGTGTGTTGTCATAAACATGGTTTACATTTATATTTTGGTCGAGTTTCTTTGAGTAGTTTTTCAGAAAATTAAAGTGTCCTACTGTTAAACTCTCCCACTGTTTATCACTCTCCCCTATCTGTATAAAAGACCCAGAAAATTTTAATAAAAAAATTTAAAAATTATTACCTGGCCCCTCAGAATTAATCTTCATTAACAAATGCTCTATTGTCCAAGGATTGGTATTGTTTGTGGTAATTGTGCTGAGGGTCTAATACTGGTATATACATATTTTTTTTTATTTTGAAAACAGAAAAAAAGAAGAATAAGATTTTCAGGCGATGATATTCTTATGTTATTTTGAATCCTCTAGATAGAGAAATGCAATATTAAATGAAAATGTTTATATGTTATGAACAACGTTACCAAACCAATAATTATTCGTAATATTTTGGCACGTGAGAATTATAATAAAACAATTTAGAAATATGTTTCACTCCACATGAATTTATTAAACAAAAGCTTATATTAATACAATTTCTTTATAAACGCTGCACAAAACTAGTCAAAACTGTTACACATACATATATACCATTCGCACGCTATACGAGCACTGGCTCCTTTTTGATATTACATTTCCATCATTACTTCTATTTAATTTCGTCAGTATTCGCCTATCATCGGTTCTATTACCCATACGTCATACACACTCATTTGCGATCAGCAACATTCTTCCCTCTTTTAAACACTCGCGTTCAATAAATTTAAATTTTTGATCGGAAGCGGTGATATTTTTTTTACACCTCGCTCTAATTCGCCGCTTTGGGTCTTTACTTTTAGTACTCGTACAATACCATCGTCTCCCGGTCGGACCTGAATCACTCGCCCCAGACTCCATCTCAACGGAGGTAGATTATGATCCTTTAGAACAACGAGACTTCCCTCCCTTATTAGTTCTGGAGCTCCTGTATGCCATTTTGATCGAACATTGAGCTCATTTAAATATTCGCGCACCCAACGTTTCCATAAATTACATTTCATTTTTTGTAAACATTCCCACCTAGATAACCTATTCATAGGAGTCTGAGTATAATCCCAAGCTGGAATAGTTGTCACAGGTTCTCCTATCAAAAAATGGCCCGGGGTCAACGCATTTACATCGTTTGGATATGTTGTGATTGGTGTGAGAGGTCTCGAATTTACAATCGCTTCAATTTCGCACATGT